TGCAATAATCTACCCAAAATATGTTAAAATCTTCAATAAACTTACGAGAATAGTTGAAGAAAGTTACCGTGAAAAATTCATAACAAAAAAACAGTAGAAATAACAAACATAAAATAGAAATAACAGCCGAAAACTAGCTCCTGTACGAGGCGGTCGACCAGCTGATCATTCCTGGCAATTTGCCAATCTGCGTATCGATTTTTCACCAACTTCGCTCCAGTGCGAATGTGGTGAAGGACAACTTGAACACGTAGTCAGCCTAACGAGGGGCGGAGGCATCCCGTCCCCCACTGTTCCTGGCCTTATTGTGCCCTATCCAGCCGTTTTCCGACCTAATTCCTGCACAAATGTTATCAGAGGGGGCTTAGAATTCTAACCATGTGCATATCTTCGAAACCATTTATTCGTTAACAGTGCCTTTAAGTCATCTGCATGCTTTTAACATCTGCATGCTAAAACAGAGCCGTAGAATAAGAAGCTCTCGCACAAAAATCGTTAGTAGGTTGCCGCGCCAGTCAGCCCAGCCAGGGAACGGTAATGTAAAGCTTCGAAGCCCTTCCCACGTCATACATTGTGAAAAGCGGCACCCTGTGATGTCTTCTCTGAAGGAGTCTCACATCTGCAATCTTATGAATTACGGAAAGCTCTTCAATGCTTTCGTTTGTACGACATATATTCGAAATAAACCTATCCCTTCGGATATCTGCTTACAATTAGCTGCAGACCCATCACTGTTAAAACATTACGAAGAAAGAACATTAACATTTCCAGTGCCGATGATGAGTAAAATGCTGACGATCTCTTTCGTTCTATTTTGTTTGAATATCGTCACAACTCAGGGAGGTCATCCAGGAGGGCCTAAAGCTACAAAGCCTACGTAAGTTTCTATATCTTGCTCAACTAATAAAAGTAAAACAACTCACTTGTGACATTTCTTTCAGCAAAAAACCTCCTTCCCCATATATTGAAGAGCTCGTCGATTATGGCGCCGAAACCGGACATGTCTTGCAAGGATTACTCGTCTATCCGAGGCAAGTATGCGGAACTCGTCAACCATGTCACAGAAGCACCCAATGTCTACAACCATTCATCCTTTCCATATTTCTTTACAGGGGAGCAAATCAACATAAAAAATACCCTGCAGTCATTGAATTCCACGCGTTCACTGGTAGAACAGAGTTTGATAACCAGAAGGCAAGGGATCTCGCTAAAGTGAGTTTCCTATTTCACTTCTTATCATCGCATCGATTGTGAAATCAGGGCCAATAATCTGTGTATAAACAAAATCAACGGATACGACCCAACTAAAAAATCAGCTCGGAGTACTTTTCTGTCCTTCTCTCCGCATCCTCTCGTCGTTCAATAGTGGAGGAAAGCGGTAGGTAGCAAAGAGGCGGATGAGGGGTTGACAATATAAGAATAAATTCATTTACAATTCAATATCACTGCAATGCAACATGATTGTGAAGCATGACATGATTATTTTATTATATCATAAGCTTTCTATGTTTCTATGGAAGTTGAACTCGAGACAGTTGATGGAAGTGAAGAAGAGGAGAACAAAATAAGGTCAAATAGATTAGATGGTTGATGCACATAACTATGTACTTAACGGAAGGGCCTGCGTTTTATGGAGAGATTTTGCGGTCGGTCTAGAGGCTGCACCCGATGTAAATAACCAAAATGGTACAAGTGTGAATGGTTCAAACTAATATCATGCATACATTAGCAGAGGAGAACTGGAACGGCTGACGTGCGAATGGCACATACTTACAGTTTTAGTCCTGTGGGTTCATAAGAAGAACCTTTCGCTCAGGTTCTCGCTGACTTGGCTGCTACTACTACAACTGCTAGGGAACAAAGTCTCATTTTAAAACAGTGCATAAGGTAAATGAATGAGCAAAAGGATAGCAGAAAATAAGGGAAAGCGGTCAAGTTAGGAAAGGACATCATGTGTGACATTCTCGCAGCTCTAATTCTTCACGAAATCTCATCGGATGAGTAGTCCCGGTAAGGAGTGCTGTTGTTGGTCATTCCATTAAAACTAGGTCGCGTGCCAACTCGACCATCCACTGGTAACCCTGTCAAACACAAATACTTTGGAATCTGAGGNGAACAAAGTCTCATTTTAAAACAGTGCATAAGGTAAATGAATGAGCAAAAGGATAGCAGAAAATAAGGGGAAGCGGTCAAGTTAGAAAAGGACCTCGTGAGCGGCATTGTCGCAGCTCTAATTCTTCACGAAATCTCATCGGATGAGTATTCCCGGTAAGGAGTGCTGTTTTTGGTCATTCCATTAAAACTGGGTCGTATGCCAACTCGACCATCCACTAGTAACCCTGTCAAACACAAATACTTTGAAATCTGAGGTAATTTGCGATGAGCATCATGTCGACGCCACCGCTGCAGAAACTCCACTTTTGCGCCGCTCGTCCAGCTTCTACATTACTGCAAGTAACAACACAATCTGCTTGTTTGCAGGCAACATCCGTACATTAATCGGGTCTGATGAGACACGTGGATTTTTTCGTATCTCTTGTACTTTTGCGCAGAGTGAAGGCTCAAAAATGAGAATTCTCAAACCCGAAAACATTCGATGGATAGCAACACAACATTTACCATCCATCTTTTGCCAAGGCGAGTGCTCCATATTCAGATCTAGGATAAAAGTAGATTATAGTGATCAGAGCTGTAAAGATTGCGATCCGTTGAAACCCCTTTTTTTATTTACCCAGTTATTTTTCGAAAAGGAAAATATGGTGGTAACGGCATGATTAAACATCGTCGTTCGGAGATCATCAAATCTCAGAATGAAGTGTTGGCTTCACAACTAAACACAGCATGATAAGATAAAAATGGAATGGAAGCAGAGTGCGTAACCCCAAAGTAGGACATAAGGTGGAACAGCTGAGCATGACAACATAGCAATGAGCGGAAACTTTTCCAATTCTTCTCGGTTTTGTCGCTCTTTTTTTGTCGTTGTTATTTTGCAGATCCTGAGTCAACTGCGGAGAAATGTCTTTTTTCCCTTTAGGAACAGCCTTTCGATTGCTACAATTTCAGACCGGTGCCATTTCACTTCTGTTGCTCACTAGCTTTTTTTTCCTTTTCAGCTCGGGTATGTAGCCTTTGCATCTGATGTTTACGGCAAAGGCGTCGCGTCAAATGATACCAACGAGAACTTTGCTTTGATGGCGCAAATGCTTTCCTTGCGGACAACGACTCTTCAGCAAAGAATACGAGCAGCATGGAACCTGGTGAAGCAGTTGCCCTACGTGGATAGTCAGAAGGTAAGTTGATAGAAGGTTTCGAACATGGTTCCTACATAATGTTGCTGAAGCAGAGAACTTCATCATGATCAAAGCAAGGAATTGTTTGCTTAGCGCTTGAGCCAATTAGAATGTTGTGTTCCTTCTCCTCAGTATATTTGACAGATGATCAAATAAATGTCGCGCAGCTGCTATATCTGCATTAACTGTACTAAACAGAAACGGAGAAACGCGGTCATGCCGAGATGTGCAAGATCTCCCGGACATTGTCCTGAGTATTGTTCAACAAACAAGAAGTTCGAATGGACGTATTTCGTAGAAAAAATCACCTGATGGGTTTATCGTCGTCTGTTATTACCATTTAAAACTCCCGTCGTTGTTAACCACAAAAGACGACGCCCAAGTTACTCTCCAACCCTCTACCTCACATCTTGAGAAAAAAAATATGCAACGCCAGGCTAGATGGGAATAGAAAACCAAGTGGCAGCATTAATTTCCCTATACAGAAAACAGACATTCAAACTAGCAAAGGTTGAGAACTCAACCATCCATGATAGACTGGTTAAAAGAGAGAGAGAAATTTTAGTTCGAATTAGACTTCAACCTTCGTTAAATTAAGGGACGATGCTTCGGAGGCTAGTATCTCCTGCAGTGAAGCGATCCAACCGACTGTTGACCGTTGTTCGGTGAGCAGGGCTAGCACCGAATTGGTTGCTGGTAATTTGAGCGGCTACACCCGCGTTTTTCCCTTTTCGTGCCTAGTAGAAGGTGACAGTGCGAATCCGGTGCTGTCCATTTCTTGACCGTAATGC